CCAAATTCTCTAGGAATGTGCTCTAGTGCTATATTTGTAATGTCACAAAGGCTATGTGAGAATTGGCTTACAGAAAGATAGCAACGAGTATGTGACCCTCTTAATGTCAAGTGGATATCACAGTAGTGACAAATTAAATATTAACAAACCAAAGCCCCAATTATGTGCCACCCATAATCCTAGAGAAGAAGTCAGCAATCATGATGTAAACATTTCTGCAACCCAGTTATTGATTTATAGCTAATTTATACTAAATGCGACAACTGTATCTTCGTTAATGGTAGAAAACAATTCATCAGTGATTTTGCGGAGTTAAGTATTAAAAGATTAACAAAGCTTTTTAGTTATACCGTTGAAAATATAGGGTTTGGATGTGGAGTAATGCAAAGAAAAACTTTAAAATCTTAATCTCTATGATATAAGAAGGAGAGAAAAGTCATACAAAGGATCTTACTGAGAAGTAGAAGGCTATAGAACTAGATAAAGGTAGGGCAAAAACTGTCAAGATAGAGAAACTAAAAGAAAAAAAGGGAGGAAAGAGTTATATAGAGAGTGAAATAGAGAAATACTTAAAAGGAGAAAAATTAGATGAGGAAAAATGCAAAGAAAAAGAGATTAGAAGCAAGGCATGGGACCAAGGGAAGTCACCTAAGCCCCAGGAAACTGGTGAAGAAGGAAGAGAAGAAAAAAATGAAGAAGAGAGAAAAAACCCCAAATTTTTAAAAAAACACACAACAATGCTCACACTTAGAAAACAAAAAGGAGGAAAGAAACCCAACCAAGTAAACAAAAAGGAAAGAAAAAAGAATTTCTTTGTGATTTAAAACGTGGTTATCTTCCAAAGTACTGTCTCAGGGCAAATGCCGATTAAAGTGTCAGCCACTCTGGCTGGGAGACAAAGAAGGGAGTTAAAGCTCAGGTCCTTGCCAGATGCAGTCACCAAATTGTAGGCTGTCTAGCATGGTGGGAGTGCAGGAATGCTGGCCCCAGGGCTTTCAGATTCAAGCAGATTTGGGCTGAACCTGGCCTCTGGTTGTGGGAGTAAAGCCTGGGTCCTTTTAACTTAAAACACCCTGCTTATCTTTTGCCACCTGACCACGGCTCCCTGACCACGGATGTCTCCCATGGCTAACCCTCACCCAATCTCTATGGGAATATAAAGCTGGGGGGCCTGAAATAAAGCCAACCTGTAGCTGCTCCAAGTCCTGACTCAATCGGCCCCCTCCCTGGTATGGGTTGGAGCACTCACTTCAGGGGATGCAGCAGACAATTGGGCTGGAGTCACTCACCAGCTGTTGCAGCTCACAACATCCACTGGTCCTGATCCATTCCACCTCTGGCTGCATTATAAGTCAGTAGCTCTGGCGAAATTGCAGATTGCCCCTTCCTTTTTCTGCATTCTGTTCTGTCTCTGCAGTTTTTCAGTAGGCCACAACTTTCCTGTCAGATCCTTGCTGGGTCCCAGGACTCCACCTCCCTCCTCCTTTTTATTCCCCAAGTTATTATTTTTCAGTGTCTGAATTCCAAATCCCGGAGAGGCTGATCCATTGCTGCCTGCCCCCCATCTTACCGGAAGTCTTCCTTTGTCTTTAAAGTCTAGCTCTTAGCTGGGCAAGTGGCACACATCTGTGATCCCAACTATTCAGGAGGGGGCTGAGGATTTAGCTCAGTGGTTTCGCCTCCTGCTGCACAAGGTCGAGGACCCGAGTTCCATCCCCAGTACCAAAAGAAAAAAGATTCAACCAACTATTCTGGAGGCTGAGGTGGTAGGAGTGTAAGCCAGCAGGGCCGGGGGGTTAGCTCAGTGGTTCTGCCGCCTGCCTTGCAAGTACCAGGTTCTGAGTTTGATCCCCGGTACCAAGAAAAAAAGAAAAGTTGTAAGCTTGAGGCCAGCATGGGCTACATAGTGAGACCTGTTTTGAAATAAAAATTGAAAATACAAAGTGGGCTGGGGACACAGCTCAGTGGCAATGATTGCCTAGCATGCATGAGGCCCTGGGTTCCCCCAAACAGGTCTAGTTGTTTACTGTGACCATGCACATTGTAAGTAATTATTCTAGAAAATATTTTTAATTATAGCTTTATGCATCCTCTTGTCATTTAGCCAAGTTATTTCTTGTCTTTTCTATTTCTGATGTGTGCTGCTCTTTCTGTTTCTGGACTTCTTGGTTCCCTTTAGCTGGATTGGTCACATGAGACTGTTGTCAGCTTCTTTTCCTTTCTTTCTTCTTTTACTAGTCCATGTTTACAAAAGCTCAGAATGTTGCATTCCTTGTGTGGAGTTGGGGCACGGATGTAACACAGCTGAATTCATTTTTCATCCCCTTCCCTCCCTTCTCCCTCCACCTCCACCTCTTGATTCCCCTTTCCGCTTGAGAAAGATCTGTCTCCCTGCTTCTTAATATCTTTTACTTTGCTTTCTTTATATTTGAGTTTGTCGTATAAGAGAAACCATGCAATATGTCCATTCCTTCTCCTCTGTGGCCATTGTGGAGGTGCCCTTACCCGGGGTTACACGGTTCTCATTTGTAGACTTTATCTGGAGATGTCTGCACAGAGTTCCATTGCTCATTTGAAAATAGAGAGCTTTGTTGTGCTTTAGGATGGCTGGGGGTTGGTGGGGCTCTTGTTCTACCTGCTCCTCCACTGCTACTGATTCTCCCTGTGGCCACCTCTGGCCCCGAGTGCCCCCTCTGGACACTGACAATGTCCCTGTTCTGTCCCCTCGTCCCATTTCCTCCCTGTCCAGTTTGGCTCCTACCACAAGCAGCTTTGGTCTGTGTGAGCCCTTGTCCTTCTGGGAGGATCTGGGGGGGCCTACTGCTGAGACCACCACAGACCTCACATGGGTTCCTTAGTGTTTCATCATCGTCACCCACAAGTTGGCACCTGTGGGCCTCTATTCCCCTATGCCCTGGTGGAGGGCTCAGTGCAGAGCAGGGTCCCCTTCTCTGAGGGTGGTCACTTGGAGATTTCTGGGCCTGGTGCCCGTAACCTAGGAACCCCCATTTTCTCCCCTCAGCTGCCTTCACCAAGCAGCCGACCCTATGTGGGTCCTGTGGCCCATGGCAGCCTGGCCCTCCCTATCTCTTGAGACTTGGCTCCACTCTGAGCCCTAACTTCATTGATGATGTGGTCAGCGAGTTTGGCCATCCTCATTGTCCTATTTTTCAGAGGGAATTTGGAGAGGTTTTAAACCACCCCATCTTAACCTTTCCCCTACCCTCACCCACGTATGTCCTTAATCTTTCTGTGTTGAGGTGGTGCCTCAGCTGATCACATACATGTGCCTGCCTTGTCCTTTATTAACCATCTCACATAGCCTGGCAGGAAGTTGGCCCAGAGCCCTCCTGCTCTTCTCTGCTGCTGGCCATCTCCCAGGCTCACTGTGGGAGATCTTCCTTCCCTCCCTCCTTCCCTCCCTCCCTCCCTCCTTCTCTCCTTCTCTCCTTCCCTTCTTTCCCTCCCTCCCTCATTCCCTCCCTCCCCATTCATTCACTGAGAGATGCTTCACAGATACTTATCAAGGGCCCTCTGTGTAGCTGTGTGCCTGCCCCTATCCCCACCTGGGTCCTAGTGTTCCCAGTCTCTGGGTGATACAGATGTGACTGTTGATATTGCCCTGGGCCTTCTGCTCCGGGAGGCCTCAGCCAGGGGCTCTTGTGGGCGGTGACCCACACCTACCAGTGAGATGCGCTGCAGTGCAGCAGACCTAACCCAGGGTTTATCCTCAGCACACACACGTTTCGGTGACTCCTCGCTTGGGGACTCAGGTTCTGAACGGCCAAGGGCCTGGCCACAAACTCGGTGGACCTTGAGCAAAGGATTCCTGCTCTTCAGCTCCCGTCTCTTCTGCAGTGCAATGCAAGTGTTGGACTAGCGCCAGGACAGCAAGGTGCCTGCAAAGGCCGGGAGTCAAGCATTTCAGACTCAGTCATCAGCCTCTGTCATGGCTCTTCAGCTGTGCCCTTGCAGCTCCAGATGATGCTTGGGAGTGGCTATGATCCAGTGCAAATGCATTTGGGGAAACGGGGACCCCCATGGCCATGGTTTGCCATCCCTGGACCAGACCCCAGGCCCAAAGCCCATCACTCCATGATGCCCTGTGGCTCAGGAGGCTTCTCTTGGCCCAGACCCATGGGTTGCTCTGTGGCTGATGAAGGCTGGGTCTAACTGGAGCCTGCATGGTCCCCCACCCCTGCCCCACCACCCCTCACCACTCCTCCCACTGGAGTCAAGGCTGCAGGAGGGAAAGAGTTGGGAACCAGCAGCCTGGCAGGGCAGGCAGCTGGCTGGAGCAGGGGTAGGGGTGGCTGAGGCCCTGAGACGTCAGGGGTGAGGACTGTCTGCCTACCCAGGAGCAGGGAGGGGACCAACAGAAGGATGTGTGGGGGTGGGGTAGGGTAAAGCCACTTTCCCCGGTCCGCTTCACACCAGCCGCCTAAAGACATGCTGTGGGTTCAGGTTCTGTGCCTGTGTCTCAGCTGTTCCTGTCCCGGGCAAAGGAATGTGAGGGACAGGAAAGCCTTCAAGTGCCAGGGGCTGTGGAGTCCAGTAGAGCCCATCAAGGAGAAATCAGGTGCCTCCACCAGGCAGGGAGGGCACTGCCAGGGCCACTGGCCTGCTACCAGAGGGCTGTGCCAGCTGCTGAGAGAGACCGTGCGCAGTGGCGCAGTGAACGCGTCCTGTGCGCACTTCCTGATAAAGAAAGCATCTCCTGTGTGCCGATGAGTCCAAGCACCAAAGCCGCTATTCTGTGTTGGGGAACAACTGGTGACACGCCCAGGGTGGACACGTGTGGCCGAATGTGCTGGGGGTCGTCTGGGGATCAGGAAACGAAGCAGGGGACTGGGTGGCCTGTTACACACTTAGCTCTCTTATTCCAGTGTTGCTAATCATTACTGTCGCTTCCCTGCAGGCAGTGTGAGGGGCTGGGCTGGGTTGGGTGGCCGAAGGAGAATGATGACGTACATGTCACCGAGCCCCTCTTTGTCTTGCAGTGCTGTTGGGGATTTCCAGGTGGACGACAAGACCAAAGCACTCCTCAAGTACACAGGGGAGGTGACGTGGATTCCTCCGGCCATCTTCAAGAGCTCGTGCAAGATTGACGTGACCTACTTCCCGTTTGATTACCAAAACTGCACCATGAAGTTCGGGTCCTGGTCCTATGACAAGGCTAAAATCGACCTGGTCCTGATCGGCTCCTCCATGAACCTCAAGGACTACTGGGAGAGCGGCGAGTGGGCCATCATCAAGGCCCCGGGCTACAAGCACGACATCAAGTACAACTGCTGCGAGGAGATCTACACGGACATCACCTACTCCCTCTACATCCGGCGCCTGCCGCTCTTCTACACCATCAACCTCATCATCCCATGTCTGCTCATCTCCTTCCTCACCGTGCTCGTCTTCTACCTGCCGTCCGACTGCGGGGAGAAGGTGACGCTCTGCATCTCCGTGCTGCTGTCCCTGACCGTCTTCCTGCTGGTCATCACCGAGACCATCCCGTCCACCTCGCTGGTCATCCCGCTCATCGGCGAGTACCTGCTCTTCACCATGATCTTTGTCACCCTGTCCATCGTCATTACGGTCTTCGTGCTCAACGTGCACTACCGGACGCCAACCACGCACACCATGCCTGCGTGGGTGAAGACCGTGTTCCTGGACCTGCTGCCCAGGGTCATGTTCATGACCAGGCCGGCTGGCGGTGAGGACCACACTGTGAACCCAAGGACCCTCAATGGTGCCGAGCTCTCGAACCTGAACTGCTTCAGCCATGTGGAGTCAAAGGGCTGCAAAGAAGGCTACCCCTGCCAGGAGGGCACGTGTGACTACTGCCACCACCGCAGGGTGAAGATCTCCAACTTCAGTGCCAACCTCACAAGGAGCTCCAGTTCTGAGTCTGTCGATGCAGTGCTGTCCCTCTCGGCTCTGTCACCAGAAATCAAAGAGGCCATCCAGAGTGTCAAGTACATTGCCGAAAACATGAAAGCACAGAATGAAGCCAAAGAGGTAAGGGTGTGATCACTGTCTTATCAATCACTCAGCCATTCAGCAAACATCTGTGGGTTCCTGTGTGGGGTGTAGGGTGTAAGGCATAGGGTACAGGTTAGGAAATCAGGCTCTGGAGTCAGTGGCTGTGTTCAGGTAGTCCTGTGTCCTGGGATGTGTTAGGGACCTCACCGGTCCCAGCCTGTGTCTCATCTGTAAAATGGGGTGACCAAGCTTGGGAGTACATTGTGCCCGTGGCTGCCACAGTCTGGGCCCTGGGACACCTGATGCTGAAAGCGCAGGTCAGGGAAGAGCTGCAAAGGGCAGGAGCAAGCTCTGTCTGGTGAGTGTCAGCCAGCTGAGCCTGGGCTTTTATTTCTGTTTTCGGTGTGTTTACAAGGAGAAAGCACCTGCCCCCTGGGTGGCCAGCTGACTGGATTTTCATGTCATGTGTGTCCTATGTAGACGTGACCCAGGCAAAGACGTACACTGCTTCCCATGCCCCCAAAAGTTCGCATGCTGCTTCCCAGTCACCTCTTTCCCCTCAGTAACCACACTCTGGCTTGTTTTGTTAACTGACTTTACCTCCTCTTGAACTTCATGTACGTGGTATCACGTGGTAGAGACTGTCCTGACCCCTTTCATTCAACACAGTATGTTTGAGGTCTGTCCTTGTCACTGTTCCTTTTTGTTTTGGGGTTTTTTTTGGGGGGTGGGGTGGGGTCTAGCTATGTAGCCCAGGCTGACCTCAAACTCATGCCAATCCTCCTCCCTCAGCCTCCAGAATGCTGTGATTACGGGCATGCACTACCATGCCTGGCGAGGGCTCTCTTCTGTGTTTGTTGACCATGTAGATACTGTTTTTTGTAAAATAGCTTTTCCTAATCTTTTGCCTATTTTTAAAAATTGACTGAACTCAGTTGTATTTTCTGTCAAAATTGTATGCCAGAGCTAACATCAGGTATGAAGATGGAAAAGTTTTACACAAAATGATGCCATGCATCTGGCTGCTCCGTGACCCTCTCTGTACTCCCAAGGTTACCAAGTCATACTTGGTCATTCTGAGTCTTTGCTTTACAATTAACTGGCTCTGCCTTAAGTTGTTTATTAACAGAGGGCTAATTCCTGAGTGACTCTAGTGCCCGCTCCACAGTGGGTGATTAGTGCTGGTCAGCAGTGCCAGGTCCGCTTTGGCCAGCACCCAGGGCAGATGGGACAGGAGGAGATGGCCACGGCTGCCCTCACCCCATACCTGCCCTCTGAGCAATTCCGAAATCTGCAAAGCCCCAGCTGCTCCTGGGGGTTTGGCACAGAGGCAGACGTTTTGATTGGCCTTGAGGCTTTTATGCTTGGTGGACACCGAGGTGGGGCAGGAAATCGGTGATCAGTGGGCTCTTACTTGTCCAACACTGACAGCTTTTGTAGAATCTTCCACCCTTTTCTCACCCACTTGTTTAAGTAGCAATGATTTCACTAAAGGTTGAGATCTAGTTGCTCATAATCTAGCCTTTTCAGATCATTAGGATTTATATTTATTCCAAAAATTATTTCTTAGACACCATGCAGGGTGTTAAGAGTTTCAGAAGGGAAGACATAGCCAAGTAAAAATCCTATTATTAGAAGGGAAGTCACAAATTGAAATGCCAGGAGGTGACTTCCCATGGTGGGGCAGTGGGATCTGGGGCACAGCAGTGGCATGTAGTCCCTGTCCAGGGTGGCCCTGGCTCAGCTTGATCATCTGTCACTGCATAGGAACACGGTCTGCATCCTCTGCTTTGCCAAGTGAAGGCAGAGGTCTGCCAGGGGCCACCAGCTTGCCAGGGCAAGAGGAGGCAGAGTATGTTAGCACAGAGGTGCCTGTTCAGGGCTCAGGAGAGTTGGGCTGGCGGAGCATCCTTGCCTCTGCTAAAGCTGCTGTTTAATTTCCAGAGATGTCACTCTGCTTATGGGCTGGCTCCCACCCGCTGGGTCTGCCTAGCTTCCAGGCACCTAGACTGAAGCCCAGGCTGTGTTCCCAGCGCCTCCTGAGGTTGCTGCTGAGATAGAAGGGGAAAGCAGGTCCCCACCCTTCCCTTGCCGAGAGCCAGCAGGAGCTGTGGGCACGGGAAGCTGCCATGCCCTCCCTCCTCCCTAAGCCGCCTCAGGATTACCTGGGACAGCTCATCCCAGTCTTTCCCATACTCTCGGGTTACTTCGGTGACTGCCTTCCAACCAGATGACAGCCACGATACCTATGCCTGACTCACTCTAGCCTCTCCGAGGATCAGCGGGGAAATTGCACTTGACAGGGCAGAGGTCAGAGGGACTGGGGCCTGTGGTTGACATCCCTGCTATCCTCAAAACCCAAGAATCTGTAATCAACACAGCCAGCTCCCATAAAGGCTCCCAAAGTGGAGGCAGAGCCAGGCATGGTGACACGTGCCTATAATTCCAGCACTTTGGGAGCCTGAGGCAGGAGGATGGAAAGTTCAGTCCTGTCTGGGCAACTTAGTCACTTCCCTGTCGCTGGACACAATACCTGACACCCACAACTTAAAGGAGGGATTTATTTGGCTCATGGTTTCAGTTCGTGGTCTGCGTGGTAAACACTAAGGGCCGAGGGGCACTGGTGCTGAGAGCTCAGGGCCATGCACTATGGGCTCTGGGCCACTGGCTCTCCGAGCCTGTCATGGAACTGCGCATTGCTGATTTGTGAATTCCATCAGAACCGTGGCTGCTTGGCAACCCTGCAGGCCTGGGAGTGGTCATCTCTCCTGTTAAATAAAATGTGGGAGGGCACAGATTGGGACTGGGCACCTGCACTGGGCCCAAGAGACTAAGTTTTATCATGGGAGCTGGGTGTTCTTAGGTTTCAGAAGGCCCTGTAGCCAATTAGCTAATTAAATTGTAAATAGCTAACTAGTTAAGCTATAACCAATGACTACAATTGGTTAGAGTCCATGTAGCCAGTGGTTGATTGGCAGGGTTGCAGGCTAGGAAGTTTTCTGTGCTGCCCTCCTGTTTCCCTGTAAATATCATCAGCCTGGCCCTGCTCTGGGAGCTGTCTGCTTCAAAGGGGTTTTGTTTGTGTTGCTCAAATAAACCCTTGTCTTTCACTGTTGTGAGGATTTTCCCTTCTCATGCTGGACACACTGGGCTGTGAGGCAGGAGACTGTCACAGTGCCTGCCCTGGCCTGTATCCCCTTCTGAAAGTTGTCCCTGTTGGTCATCTGCCCAGGCTTGCTTTCAGTCTCAGCTGTCAGGGGCTAATTAGTGCTAACACATTAGTTCAGAGTTATGGCTAGAATTGGGTTACCACATTAGAAAACTAGAGCTCCCCATGTCCCTTGAAGTGGTTTTGTTGAAGTTTTGACAGCTAATCACTTGTGGCTGTCTTGGTGGTGCGTACAGATCTTCTGTGACCCTTTTTTTAGGGGAGGGGGTGTGTCTCCGGTTTGAACTCAGGACCTTCACACTGAGCTGCATTCCCAGCTCCCTTTTTAAAATTTTTTAAGAAAGGGTCTCACTGAGTCACTAAGTTGCCCAGGCTGGGCTCAAACTTGTGAAGTTGCAGTCCTCCTGCCTCAGGCTCCCAGAACGCTGAAATTACAGGCAGGCACCAGAACACCTGGCTCAGTCATAGTCTTTTAAGCTACTTACTGTATTCTGAGGCCGTTTGTCTTCTCTTTGAGTGATGTATTCACTCCAGTCAGAGCCTGACCTTTGAGCAGTGACTTACTAGTTACGTGTCTTGCAATTACTGTTACACAAGGGTCATGTTGCTGCCATCATATCCCCATCCTTTTCACTTACATGTTTTCTTTTTTGGCCTTAGTTCTTGCCATGTATTGAAAGCTTGAATTTGCTCTGCACAGAACTCATGCAAGCTCTGTGTCATGCTCTTATCCTCTGGCAGCTCCTTGCTGACACAAACTCCACCCAGGCTTCCATCCCCATCTTGATGTCTCTGACATTTCAGCCCCATATTCCGCTACCCACTCTTCCTGCTGCAGTTGTCCTCAGGGCTTTCAGCCACATAGGTGTGTCTGGGACGTTAGTTTTGGATTTTTGTGAATGTACTTTTTTGTTCTTGCAATTCCTTTTAAAAAATGTATTAGTACATGTCGGCAGCACATGCATTTTACAGTCATTTTGGGGAGTTGGAGCATGTACATACAGCTTTTTTTAAATCCCCTTCCCTTTCCCTCTCCCCCTTTTCATTCTTGATATTGTTAATCCTAGTTCATGTTTATGGCATAAAATGACCACATTCATTGAGGGTATTCAGATCCTGTATGCAATTCATTTAAGTGTCCAGTGATCCTTACTGAACTTGCTGACCCGTCATATATATTTTCTAGGAGCTCAGATTTATTTCTTCTCTTAGTGGTGTGCCTTCTCAAGAGCATTTATAGGTAAACCTTCTGAGGCCCGGGAGGCTTAGTTTATGTGCCTTCACTTTGTGTGCACGCATGTGTAGGTGTGCTGTACTAGGGACTGAACATTGAGCTACATCCCTAGCCCTTTTTTGCTTCTTCCTTTGAGACAGGGTCTCAATAAGTCACCAAGTTGGCCTCAAACTTGTGATCCTCCTGCCAGAGTTCGGAGATTACAGGTGTATACCGCCACACCCTGCTTTGTCCCTTCACTTAAGGGTGCATTTAGCTGGGTACAAATGTGTTGGACTTCTTTTCTGCAAGTACTTAAAAAAGTCTTCCATGGTCATTGTCACTTCTGGAAAGGTTTTAAGTTAATCTGAGTGTTGTGTCTTTGTACTACTGTCTGGAAGCTATTAGGATTTTCTATTTGTAGAGAAATCCAGTGACATCAAGCACAGGTATTTGGCAGCTGAGCATCTGCCAAGTGGGCTGTGTTCTCGTGAGCCATTTCCTGCTGAGGGCTCATCTTTATCCATCCCAGGTTATTTCTGTGCAGATGGCTTCCCACCCCCTCCTCCTCACTTCCTGAGCTCCTGGTCTGCAGCCCTCTCCCCTTGTCCTGTCCCACTCCTCCTCCCATGTCTCCTGGCGGGCAGCTGCCAAGCCCTGCTGCTCCTCTCCTCTCCCAAGCTCTTCATTGCAGCTTTTGTTTTCTACACTGGTTCATACCTGTTTCTCACACCTTTCACATGTGGCTCATCGCTAAAAATGCTTGTTCCTCTCGTTTCCAGATTCTCCAAGTTCTGGGTACAGTGTGTTTTAAGTCCTTGGTCAATGTTCTCTGTGAATTTTTGTCAGCCAGATGTGCTTGTGTTTGGAATAGGAGACAAAACTCAGGCTGCATGAGGCTGAGGTCACCCGGGCCACATGCTGGGCTTGGTCACCAAGGTGTTGCCTCCCCTGCAGATGGCCTTGTCTCTGAAGGGACATCAGGCCTTCCCCCCAGTCCCTCCTGCCCAGACTGAAGCTCATTCTTGAAGCCTTGGGCTCTGTCTCCTGCTGTTCCCAGCAGCCAGACCCTGTGTCTCTGGCTGGAGTGGCAGGAAAGAGAGCACCAGGCACGGCTCTCCCCGTGTCCTCTCCACAGGGACCTCTCAGGGGCTGCGGCCCCCACCACCTTCCCAGCTCCTGAGCCATGAAGTCACTGTCCCCTCTTGCTTCTGGGTGGTCTCTAGGGTCTCACTGGGCTCAGAGGCCAGAAGCTTGGGCCTGTTCACCTCTGTGCCCAGCACCTTCTGTGACAGCATTGGTTCCCCAGTTTGCAGAGACTGGCCACTGGCACTGTGCCTTACAGGCAGAGGAGTTAGTCTTGGGCCCTTGTGCCTGGGTGCCTGTGCGCGTGCAGTGCTTCAGACTGATCCCAGGAGCGCTCTACCACTGAGCTACATCCCCAGCCCTTCTTACTTTTTTTGACAGGATCTTACTGGCTTCAAACTTGTCCTGCCTCAGGTGTGGGTAATCGTGCCAGCTCCCCCAGCTTTCTTCACTGGGCTAAGCCTTGTGAGCTGCTATCGGAGGCAGTTTACACAGTGATACAGGTCATTTTTTTAAATCAATAGGTTCTATTTGGTAAGGACTCTGTGCTGAAAACCACCCTGAGGCAGCCACTATTCTCATTCCCATTTTACAGGTGAAGAATTTGAGACTAAGGGAGGAAAGGAGTTTACATTTCATCTAGGAAGGAACAGAGCTGAGATTATAATCAGTTTGTCTCCAAGTCTCTGCTTTCCAGCCCCCACTTCCTGAGCCTTCTAGAGGTTTAAGTCTGCAGGGCATGGGCAGGAATCAGTCTATAGTACGTAGATTTGGGGTCTCAGGAGAACAAAGGAATGAGGCAAATAGGGTATGACAATTCCTACTTTCCCCATGTCTTCTGATGTCACCGAGAGGACACAGGTACATGGGTTCATAATGGTGAAATAAAACCCACATCTCCCAGAATTACAGGCTGCCTCTTTATTATGTGATTATTGCTTCAAAATCAGTTGATTCATGAGTTCGCTCTCTCAATTCAATTATGGTTTCTTTGCTTTCTCAATTGTCTGGGAGTTTAATTACCACATAATTCTCCTTCCTGTTTCAAGCCTAAATCAAAGCTGTGTTATGTACAATTAAGTCTTGCTCTTTCTCTCTCCTTTCACCTCATTGCAGCAGTTATTGCTGGTGTTTGACCTGCTTAATAACGTGGTCTTCTGCAGTGCTCCGGTCTTGCGTTGAAGATGACACTTGGGCGTTTTGGAGGAGTGGTGGGGAGGAGAGGAACAGTGGGCTGCTGGCAGGTGTCCTTCACTCTGCAACAGGTGTGAAAAGGAAATTACCCAAACCAGGGTAAAAAACGAGACTGTGAAACAGTGGCAGATGACGGTGGATTATATGAGCCATTTCATCAAAGGTCCTAGATCCTTCCACAGAGACGTATGTAATTGGCTTTACCAACTTTACAAAATTGTAACTCAGCTTAGGAAAAATAGGTTGTCCAGCTGGCCATAGTGGCCCATGCTTGTAATCTCAGCACTCAGGAGGCTGAGGCAGGAGGATTGCTACAGTTTGAGGCCACCCTGAACTACATAGCGAGACCCTGTCTCAATCCCCCTACAAAAAAAAATAGATGGTATATAAAGAAATTTCTGATTTGAAACAGAACATGACAAATATTTTATACTTATTTCTGAACTACATAAAGCAAAACTTGAGAATAGATTTCAGGCCACATCAATTGAAAAAGACATTTTGCATATTATAGGTAAGAGGGCTTTTTCTGCTACTGCATCACATTAAGCACTTAATATTTAAAATGTATTCAACTTTGCCTTTCCCATCATGCTTTGTTTTCTCTCATGATTTTTTTTTTGTTTTTCAGATTCAGGATGACTGGAAGTATGTCGCCATGGTAATTGATCGCATCTTTCTGTGGGTCTTCATCCTGGTGTGCATCCTGGGTACAGCGGGGTTGTTTCTGCAACCCTTGATGGTCAGGAGTGATTTGTGAGCTCAGAGTGGGGTTTGCCTGAGGCTGTCCGGAGGGAGGGAGGGAGGGAGGAAGTGGGTGTTTCTTAATAGTGACACACTTGGTTACCATGTTACCAGTTTTGTTTTGCCATTTCAAGGTTTACTTATTTTCCAGTTACCTTAATTTTTGGCAAAAACAGTCATGCAAGAAAAATACCTAGAATACTTACTATAAAGAAATGAACATTTAATCTTTTCAACAAGAAAAATATCAAAATGTAACTGGTAAGTAGTATGCTGTACAACATGTCAGATGTTCCTTTTATTAGTGGTTGAATCCTAACTGGAGAGAAAAACTTGCTGTTCAGAAATATGAACTTATAGGTTTCCCAGTGGTTTTACTTACTTAGCCTGTAATCTCCTTGAAGTTTGAGTCTATATCAGCAGGGCTGCCGCCATACCACTTCTTACAGTGCATTTCTTGTTCTTTACTGCCTTTCCACAGTCTCAGGGTCACACCTCCAAGTCATCTGTTTATCCTGCATAATTCTCAATCACCTTAGGCCATAAGAAGTTATACCAAGTCACACATTCACTCATTGTTAATGAACTGTCTTGCTCTCTTGATAGCACAAAATGCCACCAACTGGGTAACTAAACAGAAATTTGTCCCAGTTTTCGGAGCCTGGATGTCCAAGATAAGGCCTGAGCAAGCCATGGTGTCTGGTGAGGTGCTTTTCCTTACAGAGGATGCCTTCTGGCTGTGTCCTCCCCTGAGAGGCTTTGTCTCTGGGTCTCTTATAAAGGTACTGATCCCAATCATGAGACCTTGTGACCCAGTGGTCTCCCGAAGGCCCCACCTCTATCACATTGGGTATTAGATTTTTCAGGAAGACACATTCAGACCACAGCATGAGCTTTGCAACCTTAGCACTGTAAACATTAGGGGCTGGGTAATTATGTTCTGGGAGTGGGGACGGAGGATGTCCTGTGCACTGTAGGACTGTGAGCAGCATCACGGCCCCCACCCACGGGAGGCCAATGACATGTCCCCCACCCTCTGGGACAACCAAAATCTCTCTGGCCATTGTTAAATGTCCCCTCAGGGGCACAATTGGCCCTAGTTGAGAAACACTGTTTTAGGTACGTTAATTTTTTCCCATATTACATTTCTAAATCTGAATAACCTGACAAATGATCAGAGGTGATTTAAATCCTCTCACTACTGTTTTCCTGTACAAAAATAAAAACTGACAATTATAGCCCACTGTGACTCATATTTCTGTAAGAGTTCTATAAAATTTAATGATATACAAAAATCTTTAACAGTAATGATATAAAACATTAAAATGTGTACAAGCTAAGATAGCTCAACAATTTGTGTCAAATGTAGTGAGCTTTCTGTCACTGTGACAGATACATACCTGAGATAATCAACTTAAAACAAAGGTTGAAGAGATCATCCTAGTCATCTAGAGGAGAAAGCAAGGGATGAAGTCTCCAAACCATGCCCTGGAGAAAAGCGGATTCCCTGACATGTGGGCTAAAGACAAAGTCTAATGATACAGGAGGGTAAACAGAGAAACTTACCGGGCCAAAATTCAGTGTCAAGGGGGTTTGTAAGGAGAAGCCAGGCCACTCCTGGATTATGGCACCTCCAAAACCACAGGTCTGGTATCCATTTTGAACAGAACCCCAAATGCAAAAAAAATAACATTAGGCACCAACAAATGGAACTATATTAAATTAAAAGGCTTCCTGACAGCAAAGGAAACAACAGAGTGAAGAGACAAACTACAGAATGGGGAAAAATTTGCCAGCTATTCCTCAGAGGACAAGTATCTAAAATATATAACCCCCCCCCCAAAAAAAATCAGATCCCCAAAATAAAAGACCTAGTCAAAAAATAAGCAAGTGAAATGAATAGACACTTCTCAGAAGTACAATGGTCAATGAATACATGAAAAAATGTTCAACATCATTGGCTGTGGGATAAATGCAGGCTAAACCAACTTACTCCAGAATGGCTACTATTAATAAATCAAATAACAGATGCTAGAGAGGCTGCAGGAAAAAGGGAACCCTACTGTTGGTAGAATTATAAATTAATACAACCACTGTGCATTCCTAAGAAAAGTAAAACGAGAAATTCCCTTTGACCCAGCTATTCTTCTAGGTATATTCCCAAAAGAGTTAAAGACATCATATTACAATGATTCATTCCTACCCATGTTTATATACGGAACAACTCATAAGAGCTCCATCTTGGAAGCAGCCTATATGTCCATCAACAGATGAATGAAGAAAATGTGGTATTTAGACATAATGGAGTACTACTCTGCCATAAAGAAAGATAAGCCATTTGTGGGAAAATGGAAGGATTCTGAGACCACAATGTTAAGTGAAATAAATCAGACACACAAGGTTAAATATCTAATGGTTTCTCTCATATGAGAAATCCAAAGTATAAAGAATTTGGAGAGGGGGCTGGGGATTTAGCTCAGTGGTTCTGCCTCCTGCCTTGAAAGCGCGAGTTCCTGAGTTTGATCCCTGGTACCAAAAAAAAAAAAAATAATAATAATTTGAAGAGCAAAAAAGGATGGATAATAGACTTAGGAAGCTCTTTTGCAAATGGGAAAGGGACTACAGTTGGAGGGAGAGGGAAGGGGAAATAAAAAGATGTGTTATGTACATGTACCAACTCCCCTTGATGAATGTAATCACTGTGCACTACAAACTTGTACTAATAAAAAGTTAATGAAAGGTTAATTTGGCCCCCAGTTCTCTCTCTGGTCTGCTGGCCTGTTGTAAGGTAGCACATTAAGGTGGAAAGCGTGTGGTGGAGCACAGCTCTTCATGTCATGGGGCACACGAGACAAAGAGGAAGGTGCTGGGTGCCAGTACTTCCTTACAGGGACACTCTCAATGACCTCACATTCTGTACCAGGCCCCACTTCCTGAAGGTTCCACCACCTCCCAAGAGTGCCACCAGCTGGTGGCCAAGCCTTCGACACATGAGCTTTCAAGGAACACTTACCCAAACCATAATATTCCATCATTGGCACCCAAAGGCTCATGTCCATCTCATAAGGCAAAATGCATTTAGTCCTCCTTCAAGAGTCCCCAAAGCCTTAACTGTTCCAGAATTGCTTAAAAGTCCAAGTCCAAAGTTTCCTTCAAGACTCAAGGCAAACTCAGCTGTGAGCTCCTAGGAAAATCAAAAAGAAAGTTACATACTCCAAGATTCAATGGAATAGGGTCAACATTCCTATTCCAAAGAGGAGGAATAGAGGCACAGAAAGAGGGTTCAGACCAGAGCAAGACTGAAACACTTCAGGGCAAACATGGTCTCCATGTCTGGTAACCAGGGTGCACAGTGGCAAAATGTAGGATCCAAGGACATGGGCAGCCTAGCCCCAATGGCTTTGCTGGGTGCACCCCACACAGTCTCCACTGCAGGGTTGGCCTCAATCTCACAGGTTCATGTGTCACTTCTCAGGGGCTCCTGCAGGGACTCTGACCCTGCCACATACCACCAGGCCTCCCAGGTTGTCCTTTAAAATCATGGTGGGAGCATCCATGACTCCATAGCCCTTGTATTCTGCATCCATGCCTGCAAAACCAGTGTCACATGCATGACACCAAGGCCCCAGCATAAGCTGTCCACGGGTCCAGTTGAACAATGGCTGCAGTGGCCTGAGTGGCTCCACTGCTAAACACAAGAAATGAATTCCAGGGAGACAATTCCCTAGTTAGCCCTACATAAGTAGGGCATCCTGGGGCTCTTTTCTCTAAAGAGTCTTTGACACAAACTTGTACCTTTCCACTTTTAAGCCTGTGGTGGGTGAGGTCTTGCTGATTCCTGAGATGCCCTCAAGGCATTTTCCTCTTCTGCTGGTACAAAGTATCTGGCTTCTTTTTAATGGCATTAATCTGTTTAGCAACTGTACCTTCTTTGATACCACCTTTAAACATACTCCTTCAGCCAAACTAAGTTTTCCAAATATTTTCTCTCCACTTTTTGCTCTCACTGTAAATCTGCCTAAAAGCAGCCAGCAACACCCAGGCTACAGTCTGAATGCTGTGCTACCTTGAAATTTCCTCTGCCAGATAAACTAGTCCATTACCCTTGAGAGCCTCCCACAGTCTAAGGATGTGAACAAAAGGAATCCATATTCTTTGCCAAAATATAATAGAAGGTGTCTAATTCCCAATAGTGTCCTTATTTCCATCTCATGTGTACAACCTTTCCTGTCCAAATTTCTATCAGCATTCTAGTCTCCTGAGTCCTCGGAATTGCCCCTTAAGTTCAGTTTATGACATCCAAAATTTTCCCAATTCCTCTCACAAACCAATTCCAAAGGTTTCTGAAACATTGTCAAGAATAGCCACAGCAACAACCCCACTTCTTACCTCTAATTGTCTGTATTAGCCTTCTCTTTGACAAAATGCCTGAGATCTAATTAACTTTAAAAGAGGAAAGGTATATTTTGGCTGTTTCAGAGATTTCAGTCTGGTATTTTGGGCCTGTGGCGAGGCAGGTGCATGTGACAGGGTACACTTATCCAACTATAGCACAAATTTTTACTCACCAAATAGCCTTAAGTGCCGGCCTATAATAAAATGTAAATTGGACAGGGACCCTTCTGTCTTCCAAAGAGTAGTGACTTGAACATAGGTAGGTTACTTTCCATTAATAAACAAGCCATTTGTTATCTGAACAGCTAAGAGTTCTAAATCAAATGCAAGTTTCCTATCAGTGTTTTTTCTGGTCATAGGTAAGGGTCATTTAAGAGATGACATTTAACTGTTTACCTGTGATACATTGTACTGTACTGATACTTTACTTGTAATAGACATAAACTAGATTATATCTAAAGGCCTTTGCAATTCTAAGGTTCTATTACTATAATTGCTGGAATGAAAAAAATTGAAACATTACAGGTATGTAACAATTTGATTATACCAAGTTGGAATACAATCTTTAAGCTTGGAAGATGGTTTTCTTATAGAGTGATCTACACTTAGACATCCTTGTAAAATGGGATCTGTGTAACTGCAGTAGACTGTTCTGAGACCAAGGATAAAGAGATACTACCACAGTTCTATAAATGGCTCTCTTTATGGTGGAGAATGTGGACAAGGGGACTGGAATTAATGTTAGAATAGCCTATTGCTGAAGGATATCCTGTAGCACATCCACAGGAGTTATCTGTTGTATGATTTCACAGTGGAAAGCAAGGTATAAAAATAGTTGGTACAACACTCATTGTAAGCATCTACAAAATAAAGTAAGCCTTGAAGGAGTTTCCAGTCCCCATTGTTCATTTATTTAAGATGTTTGTAGAATATAAGCATCACATCAAGTATTTATTTACTGAGTAGTCAACTTACTAAATATAGCAGTATGATATACTAAAAATTACCCGTTAGTGAATACAGGATAGAAGAATTTTAGAATGCATACTTTAGCAGGCCATGGTGGCACATGCCTACAGTTCCAGCTACTCAGGAGGCTGAGGCAGGAGAATCATTTGAGTCCATGTGTTTGGGCCCAGCCTGGACAACTTAGCAGAATCCAATCTCAAAAAAACAAAACCAAGAAAAGTACATACCTTTATAAAATCCTGAAAAAAATTTAAATCTATCTTCAAATACAAATGAAATTTTCCCAGACTCCAGAGATGAAACTTCACTGGTGCTTATAAGTATTATTTGCCAGCATAAAAATATTAGATTTTCTCTAAGACAGTTTGGATACTGTTTTGTCGCTGTTTTTCATTATTACTTTAGCCATGCAAGTAGATGTTCTAATGGACAATCTACTAAAATAAACCAGTATTACCAACAACTAATTGGCTACAGCTTGCGTTGAATTTTAAAACAGTTTTACATTTTCATACTTGTACAGATGCCATAAGAGATGTGTTTGCTAACTAAACTCATTCCACAACCCTTGGGAAATTTCACTTATTTGTATTTCCAATGTGAACCGGTATTATTATATTGGCCCATTCATAAATAACAGGAACAAAAAGCCCAAGTGATCCAACAATTGAAACCAGAAGAAATATCCACAGAAACATCCGATCAAGAACCTGGGCTATGAATTTCCAATCTTCAACCACCTGTTACAAAAAATAAAAAACATTAAATTACATAAATATAAACTGTGTTCATATTTTTACAACACACTACGTTAAGAGGCCAAATCATTTGCTGCCTCCAAACAATAAGTGACTCTGTACTCAGGGTTCAGGGACAGAACCACCCTGACAGACTAAGAAACACAGGTTCCTCATGCTTTGAAAGACACTACCAAATGTGTTCCTTCACAAATCAGCTTGTAATATAAGTGGTTTGATGGATTTTTAATAAAATACTATATACAGTTCTTTCTGTTACTTATTCTTGCCCTGTTTTACTTATATTCAGTTTTTCTTGAGAGACACCAGCCAGAGGTTAATTTTACGCCCAACTGAAAGTTGGTTCAGAATAATCCACATTAGGCAGCGGCTCCTCTTCCCCTCACCTACTTCATGACTTCTGAATTTCCTGGGGACCTAGATCTGAGAGGACAGAACTGTGGCCCTGGAGGCTGCCTGAGCAGGGCTCAGGCTCAGCAGGACCCACCTGACCCCCGGGGCTGCATCCTCTACCTGGGGCTACCACACTCTGAGCCTCAGGCTGGGGGTGGGGGTGTAGATGCCATGCTCATCTGCTTCTGTGTTTCCCTCGGAAGTAAAGCTCCTTCTGGTCCCAGCATAGTCCTGACACTGGCCCATAATGCTTTGGAGGCATGCGTTAAATTCCATCTCAGTTCAAATCATTAACACATCTGTATTTCTCAAGACTGATAGCTGCAGGCCTTCCAGACTAATTATATCGCCATCAGATGGAAAACTTACAAATCCACAAGCATTAAAAGTTTACTAGATGTGGGGGCTGGGGATTTAGCTCAGTGGTTCCGGCACCTGGCTCGCAAGCGCAAGGTCCAGAGTTCGATCCCCGGTACCAAAAAAAAAAGTTTACTAGTTGTAAGCCCGGTAACGGACAGTAGTGGGCATTTGTAGTTCCAGCTACACAGGAGGCTGAAGCAAAAAGTTCTCTTGAGCCCAGATGTTTGAGGTCAGCCTGGACAATAGCAAGGCCTCATCTCAAACAAGAGCAACAAAACAAAGTTTATTATATGTCAAATAGCCCTTTTGGGAGAACAACTATCATCTTATCAGATTTGTCCTATCTGGTATGCAGACCCCAAATTTTTCCATTTAAAAAAGCTTTAGAAATTAGAATTTGTATGTTAATGAGACTGTGTAAATTCAATTATGAAAATACCACTATAGTGATAGCATTTAGAAATATTTTTTTTTGGTACCAGGGATTGAACTTGGGACCTTGCGCTTGCAAGGCAGGTGGCAGAACCACCAAGCTAAATCCCTAGCCCAGCATTTAGAAATACTACATAAGAGAAACAGAGAAAACACGGTAAAATGATTGAAATTTCACATTTTCAAGGAAAACCAGTGTAGTATTATCAGTTCAATGATATGTTCAATTCTTTAATTTTAAATAACCTTAAATAAGGAGCTAGTGAAACTTACTTTTTTATAATAAACCTTTAAGCAAATTTTTGTTTTTAAGCAAATCAAGAATAATTTTACTAAGCTCCTTGTGACCCCTCTGAGGTGGAAATCATAACACACGCAGACACCTGGTTCCTTTCCATTTCCTAACATTCTCTGGTAAATGAGCCACAAAAAGAATTCTAGAAAATATCTTATGTGTACATATTAATAAAGCCAATATTAGGCTCATTCTTTAAAAAATAAAATAACTTTTGATAAAGGATAATGCAACTGTGCCTGCAAGTTACTATGGAGTTCAGAAATAGTCACTAAAGATAAATTAAAACAGTAAATCATGGGGCTGGGGACACTACCTGATGCGCAAGCGCAAGGACCCGAATTCGATCCCCGGTACCAAAAAACAAAAAACAGTAAATCACGGCCAAATCACCATTCCTTGCAAAGCTCGCACTGACTTCCTCAGAGCCACCCCAGGAGCTGCCAGGGGACACGGGAGGTGAGGCTTGTGGGGATGCTGCATGCTTCAGGAGTTTCAGTGGGAACAGATTTTAGGAAAGCTCCCTTGGGAATTTCCAGCCCTGGATCTCCACTTAGCCTTAGGGTTCTTCACTTATCTAGCTCTGAGGGAGACCTGCACCCCTAAACCAGCACAGACCTCACGCACGGCGTGCTCCTTCCTCACATGCCTGGTGATGTAGCGGATGGAGTCCAGTGCAGCCTCCAGTGCACTTCTGGCTGGCCCGGGCCCACTGCCCACTGAGGCCTGCTCTCTCGGGGTGCAGTACCTGTCCACATGGCTTCGCATGCACAGCAGCTTGGGAAGCCGGTGCAGAAACACCCTGCGGACCCAGGGTGCCATGGCATTGTGTGTGGAGGAAGAACGGTGGTGAATGTTGATGGCGAAGACGGTCACCATGATGGAGAGCGTCACAAAGATCATGGTGAACACTAGGTACTCTCCAATCAGAGGGATCACTTTGGAAGAGGAGGGGATGATCTCTTCGATAACCAGGAGGAAGACGGTCAGTGAAACGAGCACAGAAGTGCAGAGGCTAATCTTCTCACCCTCGTTCGAAGGGAGGTAGAAGACAACCACAGTGAGGAAGGACAGCCCAATGCAGGGAATGATCAGGAACAAGGTGTAGAAGAGAGGCAGCCGCTTGATGACGAAGGAGAATGTGATGTAGGGGTACCAGCAGCAGCTGTCGGTTCTGTTTCCTTTGCTCCCTGTGGCGCTCACAATTTCCCATTCTCCATTGTCAAAAAAGTCTGTCCTGTCCACATCTTGGTCCTCAAGGATGATATCAACCTGTGATCCATCATAGGTCCAAGACCCGAACTTCATGGAGCAGTTCTGGAGATCAAAAGGAAAGAAGGTGACATCTATGGTACAGGAGCTCTTGTAGTTTGCAGGTTGGGTCCAGATGACAGTGCCATTGGCCCTGACCACGGTCTTTGTACTGGCGCCTTCAAAACGTCCGTCTGCACTGCAAGACACAGGTGAGCAAGAACAGTGCAGGAGTTAGGCTGGTGTTCATTCTGCAATCCCAGGTAAAGCAAGCCAAAATGGAAAGCAGGAAATGGACACACCTGGTGCATAGAGAGACCTGCTCAGGGACAGCTTCCTTCCATATCTGATGCCACTGGAATTAAACCTGTTCTTGCACATCTGCTCATGACTGACAAATCTCTATGTCCCTTGCTGCAATTTTAGTGGTTGAAAAGACCTCACTTAATACACAAAAATAAAATTGGGCTATTTATAACAGAGCCAGAACCTGAATCCACGCTCCTCTTCCCCACACCCTGTGGTTCCTGCAGCACAAGTACTGGCACTTGCTCCTCAGGGGGAAAGAGCACTGGCACAGGTGGGCACTGGCAAGAAACGGGCATGGCCCCAGGATGGCACAGCCTCTCAGGCGCCCCGCCCAGTGAGCACCATACTCAGCGGCCCAGCACAGAACTGATCCCTGACACACGGTTTCTTCAGTCTTGTTCTTTTTCTTTAATTCATGTGCCTTTGGCAGCGCTCTGTAAACTCCCATGTTTAGCATAAAATTGCTTTCAAGCACCGAGAATAAAGTGAAAGGGAGAAGGCTGCGTCAGTTACATGACAAGCCCCACTTCCCCTCCTACACTGAGAAGCACAGAGGCAAAATGTCTCAGAGATCCCTGCTGCACGGCATCTTCTCTGTCCTCATGCTAGGTGCTTTTCTGTAAATAGGCCAGTGTGCTTTAGGATAAGCACAAATTCCCAAATTTTCCCTAGAGTGGTCCTAGGGAAAAAACCTCAATACCCAGCTTAGTTGCCAGCCTGGGCAACTTGGCAAGGCCTTGTTTTAAATCTAAAAAGGGCTGAGGACGTATCTCACTGGTACAGTGTCCCTGGGTTAAATCCCCAGCACTTGCGAGGCTGAGGCAAGGGGGTGGCTGCAAGTTCAAGGCCAGCCTGAGCTACACAGCAAGTTCAAGTCCTGCTTGAGCTATATAATGCAACAGACAGACATTCCTTATCACAGGCAAATGACAATACAGTATTTAAACAAAATTAGAAGGGTGAGTATGTATTTGAGGATAATATATGAACTCAACCATTTCCCCCAAATCTGGTCTCCAAATAGGTAATCTAGTACATAAGAGGGCAGATGAGGTTGTCACTGTGTCATGGTATGAAGCCCTGCCTGACCATGCGTGAGCCGTAGGATCGATTCCTATCTGTAAACACGGATGTACTCAGGCCTAGTATGTGGGGCTGCCGTGAGAATCAAATGACATGCAGCACACCAGGCACTGGTCAGCTATTGCTGGGCACGTGAAAGTTCACTACCTGTGTAAGCTAATAGCAGCGATTGCCTCTAATTTCCTCCCTTCTTCCTTCTACCTTTTGGCACCTACCAAAGCTTTTGCAAATTTTAGAAATCAGAACAGTTTTATGATAAAAAAAAATAAGAAAAGTAGAAAGATCCACGGAACTTATTTGTAGGTTTATAAAACAAAAGAGCGTAAGATTAAGTCATTTGGTTTTATAACTAAACAATTTTTGAAAGGGAGAAAAATTGCTAATGCCTAATAGTAATATAAGCTTTCTTTTGAAAACAAAGCAGTATTTAGAATGGAACTTACTTGTCAAACAGAACAATGTCTGGGGTCCAGAGAGAGTCTGAAGGGATGCGTATAACCGTTATCCCGCCATAGTCATCAGGGTTCCATCTCAATTTTACATCAATCCATTCCTTTAAAATGAAGAAATCTGCCTCAATTTCAATCAAAATGATAGTTAGAAATAGTGAAAATGGGACTGTTTATCAAACTCAGAAGGTTTGGATATGAAATCATCTCTACCTCATGTCTTTGGTGTGGCACTAGAGTAGAATCCTGTCCCCTGGTGCAGTAGCTCTGGTCATGGTCCTCATGAGACACAGGTGAGCAACAGCTGGCGCCCTGGTGGCTCTGTTCAGCCAGCATCTCTACTCCCCCACTGACCACAGCCAGGACTTGACTGCATGAGCCCCAAGTTCGAGGCTCAAGGGAAACATGCTTCTTCCAGCTGGACTGTCACCTGACTTGGCTGCATGAGCCATGCAAAAGGGACTTGGCTGACACATGCACATAAACACCTTATCTGGCCTCCCTGTGGTGACAACACTGTGATCAAGTTTAGAGCTGCACTCCAAGAAAAGCACACCATCCTTTAAGAGTCTGGAGATAGGGAGCTGGATGCAACTATGAGAATTAGGTGTGACAAGGAAAGAACAAGGGCAAGCATCAACAGCTACGGACGATGTTTATCATGGTAGCCCAGAAAACCTGAGACTTCTATATAAAAGGAACCCTGTCCATAAAAACAATCAATTACATTCTCCTTATTCCCATCTTTGAGTAAAAGCCAACATCCACTCCGGGCCTGTGAGTCTTGACTCCATGGGCCTCCTATTCCTGTCTGGCTCCATCTCCATCCTTCCCCAGGATACTCAGCCTTGGCCCCAGAGCACTCACCTCGCCACGCTGTTGCCTTGTTGCTTCCCAACACGCAGCCTAGTTGCCCCCAAGCTCAGGGCCTTGGTGCTTGCTGGCTCCTCTGCCTGGATTGCTTCTCCCAGCACCCACAGAGCTGGCTACCTCTCTTCCACATTCTCCTACAACCTGTGCCTTCTAAGGGACATCTTTCCCCACCACCCTGTGTGTAAGTATAGCCTCCACTCCCTGCCCTCTCTCAACTCATCCATCTCTGAGCTCGCCAGAGCCCAAGGTGCTATGCAACTTACTTGGTAACTCTCTCCCTCACAGAATGAAGTTCCTTGAGGACAGGGATTTCTGTCTGTTTTGTTCACTGGTTTTTCCTAGGGCTCAGCACAATCCTTGGCACATAATAGCCACTCAAAAAAAATACTACCTACGAGTTCGATCCCTGGTACCCCCCCGCAAAAAAAACAACTACCTGAAGCTGGGTCTGGTGGCACAAGTCTGTAACCCCAGCACTCTGAGAGGCTGAGGCAGGAACACTGCAAGAATGAGCCCAGCCTGGGCAATTCAGCAACTTAGTGAGTCCCTGACTCAAATTTTAAAAAGAGGTGGGGATGTAGCTCAGGGCAAAGGCCCTGGGTTCAATCCCTCATCCACAAACAAATAAACAACTAAATGAATACAAGAACTCCATGTACTCTCATCTTTCTGCCTCCTGCCCAGCCACAGAGACTGCACAGCGATGCCCTTTGTGCTGCACCCCGGTAATCAAGGTGGTGCCAGCCCGAGGGTCACTTCAATGGCACACCCACCTGCTTCAGCCAGACATTTGTTGTCATTAACTGATTTTTCTCATCCTATAAAATAAAAATTTAAATAAAATTATTTCAGTTACAGAAACAATTCTTTCAATAAGAATTTCTACATTTTTATACAAACATGCCTACCCCTTAAAACTGACATTCTGCTCTCCAATCTTGTTCTCCAGATAACTAGCATCTTTTTTCCAGCCTAGTTTCACATTACTCCTTTCCACATGCTCTGTATTTCAGACAAATGGCCCTAAAGCATACACACTATTGGGGTTTCTAGGTTTTACCCTCATTTCCTTGAACCTGAGATACAAGCACAGCATTATTTCGTGTGCTCAGCTCTGATAGGAAAAAGTGTGGCTGCTAACGGACTGCAAGGTGCTGATGCAGATGAGCGTGCATCTCAGAGTCAGTGAGCACAGCATTCTGTCCCCAAGGGACTCGCCCACAGGACAGAGGGATCTGACTTCCTGTGGGTCTGTGTAGAGAGAATACCAATACCAAGGTCTGTGCAGCCTTGAATACCAACTTCACAAAGCTTTTAAATCTTATTTTTCTAGAAAACTTGGGATCTCTAGAATAACTTGTCACTTGTTCCTTCCTGCTGTTGAATCTTTGTAATGCCTTTCCAGAATTTTCAAGGCCTAATTAAAGTGACATTCCTGTCACTTTACTGAAATTTCAGGAGCCAACTGAACCAGCCAAAGCTCATTAAAACACCAACCATGAATCCATGATCTATAGAGGAGGTGATGCTAAGAGAGACCCACAGAAGCCTGGGGCAAGTGGGAAAGAGGATGGGATGCACATAGCTCAGGTGACTGTTTTAGTAACAGAGGAATGACCAGGTAGACATCCCTGGGGACAACAGCAGCTCTGAGATGTCCCTAGATGGGAAGGGTGATCCCTAGAAAATACAACACACTCATCCCTCCTATGCTGCAGCTCCCAAGAGCAATTCTCCCTGATTAAGAAGGACCTGGGGATTTTATCTACTGTGGCCCCTTCCTTCTGTAGATACAGAAACCAGCCCAGTAAGGCCCCCTTGCCTTAAGCCACACCAGCAATTCATGCAGAAGTGACCCTACCACTAGAATCTCCTAAGACTACCCTACCCCAGCAGCTCTACTGCCCACCCCAAAGACATAAACCTCCTGGAAAAACTGCTGACTCCTGTAACAGATCATGGCTATTTGGCAAAAGTGCTAAACAGAGGCATTTACTATTAGACAAGTTCTGGTAAACACTTTATCTATGATACTGTATGGAAGGGAACCATCTGAGAATCTAATGACAATTACCAGTCCTTTCTCTAGAAAAATGTGGAAACACATAAATTTTGCTCTGTAGGTTAGGACTCAATCAAAACTTAGTGTTTGCAGATGATTTTGGGCCGCTCAACTGTAACAACTCTGTCTCCAAAAACCAAAAATAAAACAAATATATTATTTAAAAACAACAACAACAACAGTGTTTGCGACAGTAACATAGATACATACTCCACAAATTTGCAACTGGGCCCCAAGATGTGGCAGTCAGCCCATCCCAACATCTATAATGTGCTTAATACAGTGGAGGCAACAGAAATGAAACGAGGGAGAACAGCCGAGGGTAACACCAGGAGAAAACCACAAATGGAGAGTGCTAAAATACACAGGTAGCCTTTAGGGGTAATAAGTTTTTAACCTGATCATAAAAATAAAATAAAAACAGGGCCAGGGATTTACAGTGGTTTCACCACCTGCTGCGCACGCACAAGGACCGGAGTTCGATTCCCGATACCAAAAAAAAAAATTAAAAAATAAATAAACAAATAAATAAAATAAAATAAAAACCAACATGGAGATTAAAAAAAAGAGCAGAACACAAAGGAAATGAGGGACCTGTGAGAGTTCAGAGAGAGCCACCAAGCGGCAAGGAGAGGTACGGTGACAGAAAGGAGTAGGAGGCCACCTAGAAGCAGGTCAATGTCCTGTTTTCCCTCTGGCTCGCTGGCTCCAGCTTGCCCCTCTCGAAGTCACTGCCTTTACATTTCCTGAGCTCTGCTCTCAAGAAACAGCCTTGCCCACTCCTCGGAGGGGCCGACTTTCCTCTACTGCCTTCTGAGCTCTTCTGGGATTGGCTCCTACTCTTCCTCATGAGCTTGAAAAGCTCATCAAGGTTTCCCACCTTCATCCCTGGCCAGGACTTCCCAGCAGACGTCCTTGGCCTCATCTCTCACCTGAGGGTCCATCTTTTTTTTTTTTTTTTTTTTTCTGAGGGTCCATTTTGACTTCCCCGAGCTGGTGAATGTTTCTTTGGAATGAACACCTCAAGTTGCAACCAATCTCACCATCAGCTCTGCTCTGATCCCACAATGATTTTGTCTTTCAGATCTCTGCTGCTTTTCCACTCTAATCACCCAGGTTCCCAGATCTGAGGCCTCCTTCCACACTCAGAGGCCAAGTCCTGCTCCTTCCTTTGCATGGTCTTCTAACTTCCTCCCAAGCTTCCCAGCGGGGTTATGACCACCCTGCTGATCTTCTCAGAGAACTGCTTTTACCATGCTTGATGCCCTCAGACCACACTCCTTCAGTGCTGACCATGTGCATTCATTGTGCTGAGCTCCAGAAGGGACCCAGAAACAATGGCACCTCACTCAGCAGACGCCATGCCAGGGCCCATGAATGCCAGGCAGCATGACGGGCACTGTACTCAAGTGCAAGAGACTGAACAGCGGATGGGCCGTCTCAGAGCATCTGAGCAGACATCCCAAAGCACCTGACAAATGAAGCTGGCCTTGAAAAACACTTGGCTCGGGCCAGAGGAGCTCACCAAGCAGCATACACAGCAGCAGTAAAGGGCTAATGGCAGGCAAGGGACACTCGTCACTTGCTCAGCCATTCAATCAGCGCATTCCTGAGGAGCAGGGCTTCCAACACTGACCTCTGGACTTAGAAAGCTCCACAGGATCACTTACACCCATGATTATACTGTTCCTTCCTACTAAAAGTATTTTTCTCTCTGTCATGTCAATTCCTAAGCTGCCTGCAAAGCCAGCTCAGGTACCACCTCCCCTCTCCGGCCTTCCTTGACAATCCCAGCTATGGAGACCAGGAGTCTCAGCCCCTCACAGAGGGCACTCCGACTTAGTATACAGTCCTCTGCATGACTCTACTTGGGACAACAACCTCATACAAAAGAAGGACCTCTGAGAGCAACCCCATTTTATCTTCCTTTCCACTTCCTTATTCTTAAATTTTCCCCATATCACCTAGCATAGGGCTAACCAAGTACACCATCCCTGTATTATCTATTGATCTTTCCAGAAGCAATTAGGTAACATGTATCACAGATTTTTAACACATACATTGCCTAGCATGGTGGCATACACTTTTGTAATCCTAGTACTTGGGAGGTGGAGGCAGGAGGATCACTGCAAGTTTGAGGCCAGCCTGGGCTACATAGTGAGTTCAAGGCCAGCCTGAACTATATAGTGAGACCCTGTCTCAAAACAAAACATACACTGAAGGAGAGGTGGGGAAGGGATGAAAAAAAATTAAGATGTGTTATGTATATGGACTAACTCCCCACAATGAAAGCAATGCAGTACATAATGATGTACTGCAAATACGTACTAGTAAAAAAAAAATAGTAAATGAAAATAAAATAAAATAACACACACCCTTTGATTCACTACCTGCTTTTTCCCAGCAGTGAAAATTGAACCCAGGACCTCACACATGTTAGGCAAGGGCTCTACCCCAGCCCTTTACTAAGCCTTTCTTAGGGAAAGAAGAACTTTGAACAGTTGTGTAACAACATCACCACTGTCATTTACAGTAAGAAAACAATCTTCTCCCAATAACAGAGAATGCATCAATTACAAAAAGAATTTCCTGTAGCCATTAGAGAAAGGAAAAAAGCAGCTAGCAGTCAAAATTACATCTAAAACATTCCAATTTTGTCACAAACAAAAAAAATATGCCAAGAAATACAAACTGTTAACATTAATCATCTCTAGATGGCAGAATGATGTCAATTTTTATTTTATTGCACTTTTTTCAGTCTCACAAAAACCACACACTCTTTCTCTAATCAGAAAATAAAAGGCATACTTACGTTATTTTAAAAAATATATATGGTGACTAGATACTTATTGACTACTGTGGAACTAGCAGGAAGACAATTACTAGTTCACATGATCAGAACAAGAAAAAACTATTTTAAAAAGCAGTGTGATTTTTTTAGTTTAAAATGGAAGGACCCTTGACAATAAGAATGAGTTTTCAAGGGAACATATTCTCCCTGGTGAATGTCACATGGGACACTGTCTCACATATGCAAGGCCCTGGGCTCAATCTCCAGGATTGGAAAAAAAAATCTCTGAAATGTGTTAAGGGTAATACTGAGACTGTGACTTGCTGAGATACTCTCAGTCCCAAGAACTACAACTCTATTGAACTGTTTCTCTTAAAACTCTTTGATAATATGTTTAGCACATCTAAGGAGAAACCTCATTACAAAACATCCTAACACCTTCAAATTTGTTAAATCTATTTTCATTACAAGGTGAGCTAACCAGAGCTGTCCTAGACAATGATGTATTAACACAGGGTATTACCACGCTTATGACAAGGTCACTCTCTCTCCCTGCTGAGTCCCTTGAGCCAAGGACTGTGTCTCACCACCCCGAGACAGTGCTGGGCACACAACGGACTGGCTCATTTGGTGTGAAATGGAGTTGATCACAATATGCACACCTACCACATCCACTAACTGAGATATCGCAAGTCCAAACTTGATTTTTATTTTGTCATTCAGGTGCTCCACAGGACGAACCCATCTTTCGTAGTCTTGAAATAAATCCTTAAACAAGATGTCTTCATGTTTTGCAACAAAGAATGATTCAGATAATCCTGTATAACAAATTTTTAGAAGTCAGTGTACTTGCTTCTCTCTCACCAAACCTATTGAAAAAAAAAAAATCATTAACAACCCAACCAAAATTTAGGCCATATTAATGTGGCTTATGAAATGAAATATTAATACAAACCCATGTGGTCAAATAAGAGGCACCTTGGCTCAGATACAATTAGTTCTCAGTTAAATCATATCACTCGCTATGGAAACAGACTGTGTTCCTTAAGTAACTGGGGATGCAGCTCAGTGGTAGAGTCTGCCTACCAAGCATGAGACCCTGAGTTCGATCCCTAGCACTACAAAAACAATAAGGAAAGATCCAAGTAAGAAAAGCTTTTCACTTGCCAGAGCTGAGGAGATTGCTTGGCATAAACTTAGAAAACAGACTGAAGCAAAGCCACTTGTCAACTACATATATAAAATAAACATGCTTCATTGGCATAATTTTATTTTATTTTATTTTATTTATTTATTTTTTTGGTACTGGGGATTGAACTTGGGACCTTGTACTTGTGAGGCAGGCAGTGGCACCACTGAGCTAAATCCCTGGCCCTCCTTGGCATAATTTTACATAGGAATATTAACTGAAGCATTTAGATTTGTCATACCTTTGTTTGCTGCACATTTGTGTACTTTAGACCCCAAGTCTTCATGAACAAAATATCTAGAAGTTGTAGATACCACGGTCAAAGACTGGCTAGACCTGTGGATCACAGCTGCATTTATGCTTCATTAGGCCTCTGAAAGAATGCATTTTCAGTGTCATCTGGACCAGAACTGCATGGCTGGGCACAGTGGCTCACACCTGTAATCTAGGCTCTCAAGAGGCTAAGGCAGGAGGATGGGAAGTTTAAGGCCTGCCTGTGCAGCTTAGAAAGACTCTACCTCAAAATAAAATATAAAAAAGAATCAGGCATGTTGCTCAGAGGTAGAGCATACCTGCCAGTATTGGAAGAAAAGGAAAGAATAAAAGGCGGGGTGTGAGGGGAGAAAGGAAAAGAAGAAAAAAGGAAGGAGTGAAATCAAGCATGACATTTACTGAAATCTAGTAATTTTATGAAGAAAAACATTTACTTGAATGTGTTGCATGTTTATCATCACGTACACACAGGGATCACAGTAGCTAATAACGATCCTTCTACAATTTTAAAGATATGATCTGACTGAAACTAGCACTTTCACAAAATCTTTTTATTACAATAAACCATCCTTTATGTACAAAGCCATTAAAGATGACTCTAGCTGGAGGAAACCGGTTCCTTGATTCTCTTCCACCACCCATTTCTTCTGATAGAGCAACCTCTAGGATTTATATCCTGCTTCCCTGAGCAGTGTAAGATCTAATCCATAAATACGACAGGGTTGGAGTCCTGCCTCTCACAAGGTCTCCTTATGAGGGAGCCCACAGCACTGCTGTTAGATTACATTAGAGTACTTACTATACACTGGAGAGACATTGTTAATGTTTAAAAGCAGTTGATGTTAGAGCTTCAAGTTAAAATAGCATTACTGAACTATTTTTCCTGTTTTAATCCAATGTTAAGGATTTTTTTCATTTTTGAAATGTCAAAAATTTAAGGTAGTTTAAAAGATAAAAATAAATAAAATGTCTTTCCATAGCATCTATGGACCTTTTTGCTATTGGGGGGGGGGGTCTAGCTTGAACTGCTATTGAAAGAGAAATTGATGGAGTACAAATAAAACGATACTTCAGTCCCAACCTTCCACCTGAGAACTTTCAAGACACTGCTTGACAAACATCCTGGTAATCCACTCAATGCTAGAAATACCATTTTCTTAGCACACTTTATAAAACAAGGTACAAGAGTCACAGTGCTTAGCACACAGTCTTGATGGCGCCCTCAAATGCCACTCAGTGGTCAGGCTTTCCTATTTGGTTTACAGGTTCTGTTTATGCTGCTCAAGATTCAGTCAGGAAGACCAGCCCTTGGAAGCTCCTTCACGGCTGAGCTCTGCCAGGCTCTACGGCTCCCGACAGCCTCCTGCCAGGTCACCCCGACACTGTCCATCTTGTGCCACAACCCCGAGAGCCCGGTCCCATGCTGACTGCTGCTCATTCTGCAAATTTTCACTGGACTTGTGCCCAGTGTGAGATGGGTACTGGGAAGGCACTGATAACAAAAGACAACACCTCTACCTTCAGTCCTGCGGGAAAGACAGGCAGAACGCACAGTAGCACATATGAGCTACATGCTTAACTGGATCAAACCGGAAAATACTGTCAAAAATTGTTTTTAATAGTTAACGTTTGCTCTTCATTCTCAAAACACTTTATTGTAGAAGAACAAAATGGAATAACGGTCAGTAGAGACGGGGCGGGGCGGGGGGGGGACCAGAACACTGGAGAGGCAGCAATTCCAGCTCCTCTTCAGTACAGGAAGGAATCCATCAGCTGAGACATCCTATGCTGTACTCAAAAGGACCAGAAGAGCACGAATCCCTGAAATACAAACATGACAATTGGCTAACAGGATGGTGGTGCTTACTATCCTGATGATCATCACACGCTGTATACATGTATTGAATTACCATAGTGTACCTCATAAAAAGGCACAAATAAAAAATAAAACTTTAAAAAAACCCAAAAGATCTCTCTTGCAAATAGGAGGGGACCACCAGATAGAGGGAAGGGGAGGGAGGAGGGAAATGTAAAAAGAATGAAGATCTGTTATGTACATGTACTAACTCCCCACGAGGAATGTAATTCATTACTTACTGCAAACATGTGCTAATAAAAAATTTTAATCAAAAATAATAAATAGGGCTGGGGATTTAGCTCAGTGGTTCTACCACCTGCCTCGCAAGTGCAAGGTCCCGAGTTCAATCCCCAGTACCAATAATAGTAGTAATAATAAATAGACAAACACTCTAAATCAGTGACTTTCAATCTAGGCTCCTTGGAGTCCTATAACATTTATTTTTCACACTACATTTGACCAAGATTATATACAATGTAACACATTATGTACTATTTTGTGTGTGTGTGTGTGTGTGTGTGTGTGTGTGTGGTTTTATTTTGTTTTTTTGGAGATTGAATCCAGGAACACTGAGCTATATTCTCAACTCTTTTTATTACTTTATTTTCAGACAAGGTCTCACCAAGTTATCCAGTCTGGCCTTGAACATGTGATCCTCCTACCTCAGCCTTCTGAGTAGCTGGGATTACAGGAATGCATCACTGCCCTGGCCTATTTTATGTTTTTTCTACCGATATTACCTAAGTCTTGAACTGCCAAGAAATCAGTGTACTACTGGAAGGCAAGAATCACTTCTGTATTTTGGCATTACTATAGCTAAGTTTAATTCTGAACTGTCTTTACTTAATACATTTTAGTTTTCCTTCTCTTCTTTGACTTAAAAATACTTTATTTAAAAAGAGGAAACTGGCTGGTCATGGTGGCACATGCTTATAATCCCAGCTACTTGGGAAAATGAGGCAGAAGGATACAAACTGAAGTCTAGCCTGAACAGCACAGTGATACCTTATCTCAAAAAAAAAATTTTTTTAAAGGAAACCTGGATAAAATATTTGGCAGTCATATAGCTGATAAGGGACTTGTGTGTTGAGTAAACAATCACTAATAGGGCTGGGGATTTAGCTCAGTGGTTCCACCGCCTGCCTTGCTCGTAAGCGCAAGGTTCTGAGTTCAATCCCTGGTACCAAAAAAAAAAAAAAAAAAATCACTAATAATAATAAAGAACTATTACAACCAATAAGTCAGTGATCAAAACCAATTTTAAAATGGGCAAGAGATCTGAATAGACATTTCACCAAACAGCCAATAAGTAAATGAAAAATGCTCAACACTGTTATCAAGAAAACCCAAATCACACCAAGACACCACTGCACAACTACTAGGAGAACAAAAGGTAATAGGCAAATGTTAGGGAGGGTGGAAGATAAAACGGCTCAATCGCCATGGAGCCCAGTCTGAGAATCCTTGAAAGGTTAAACGGAGTTCCCACAGACCCAACAGCTCCAGAGAAAATAGAGGTTCACACACAAACCTGTACATGAATGTTCACAGCACCACCATGCAGCTGTAACAGCCAAAAAGTGAGGAGGGCAGCTCCACGTCATCTGTCATCCAGTGGTGGGTAGGCGGACAAAACGGGGTGGATCCGAAAGGTGGGAGGGGATGGGAAGGGAAAGGGATTTTTGCTTAATGGACACAGGGCACCAGCTTTACAAGATGAAAAAGTTGTGATTTGTCGCACAATGTGAATTTCCTGAACAATACTGAACTGTACACTTAAAAGTGGTTAAAGTGGTAAGTTTTATATGGTTTTATACAACAGTCAAAAAATTTTTAATTTAAAAAGAAAAAAACTTCAATTGAAATCCTCACCTACATAAAGGGCACCTGAAATTTCAAAAACCATAAAAGGAGTTTGTAATAAATGGCATCAAGTAAAAACTTAGAAGTTTAGAGGGAGGGGCCAGGGTCTGACTCGGTAGTACAGTATTACTAGCAAGCTTGAGGCCCCAGGCTCCATCCTCAGAACCACAAATAACAGTAATAATAATAATTCCCAAGTGGCCATGCTCAGCAGATCACCCACAATTTCCTCAGCCTTCCTCATCTCAGGATGCCCATCACACAGGCAGGTCACTGATTTTAGATCAATTGTTGAAATTGTCTAACTATTAAAATGAAAGTGAATGCTATTTTTACCTAAGGATTTGACCCTTCTAAGCATTTGTTTTTTCATTTCTACTCACTAAGGAAATCTAACTCAGAGTTCTCAAATGGCAGAACGACAGCACCTCCGACAGAGCCCTGAGGAGGCTGCTGGGCGTGCCTCAGACTGCACCTTTGTTTCCAGCAGGCATCCCCTCACACCCAGCCTCCTTGCTCTGGACCTGCTGACTAGTCCCTCCCAGCTCCCTCCTCCTGCCTTTCTCGCCCAGTCCAGGTGAGACACCTGTCAGTCCTGTCTTACAGAATGAACAAACACAGCTAGAAACTGGGAG